GTTCGAACGAGAATCTTAGATCAGTTTTCAGCAGGACTAGCAGTCTCATTTCGTGACATTTCCCAATTTTCCAAGAGATTTTTTGGAGAAACCTGAGAAGATAGCGACGAAATCTCTTCACTGTCGTAGACTACGGTCACTTGTCTGTAGGAATTATATGGAAAACTTGGTCGCAGGTGAGCGTTCCTTCCGTGGTGTGGCCCCAAACATGCCTCCTCGTCATGCCCTTGTGGAAAGTTCAGATTTTTTGCATTTCCAGATGAACTCGCAGACCTGAAATGTGCCCCGTTAGATTCCCCGTGAAAAATGCTATCGAATGATATGCATCACTTCCCCACTTGAAACTTTGGTTTTTCACCGTTTTCGGCCTTTCCTTATGCCGATCGCATTCCCAGCCCATGTCGGCCACGTGCGATTCACGTGCGTGGTGGCCGAGCCTACATGACGGCTGATGAGCTTCCGTCGTATCTGGCGGCAGTCCGATCGATATCTGATTATGGCCGTTTGATGGAGCGTGGGAAGAGCCTCACGCACCGCGCACGTGACCACTAACATTGCACATCTCACTTTCCAAGGCTCACATGAAAGCAAAAAACCAGATCTTTCCACAAGGGCATGACGAGGAGTGATGTTTGGGGCCATTCCACGGAACAGCGCTCACCTGCGACCAAGCACGTCATATATTTCCTACAGACAAGTAAGCGTAGTGTAGGAAAGTGAAGAGATTTCGTCGCTATCTTCCTCAGGTTTCTCCAAAAATCTCTTGGAAAATTGGGAAATGTCACGAAATGAGACTGCTAGTCCTGCTGAAAACTGATCTAAGATTCTCGTTCGAACTCAAGAGAATGGGATTTTGGGCGCAGAGACTACACGTCTCACCATTCAGCTCCTTGAAATAGAAATCATGGAAACTTGAAAAAAAAGTTTCAATTAATCTCGCAATCTAGTGCACAAAGTCGAGTACGTGGCGCATTCTGGGACAATGCCCAAGCCCATCTTTCTATGAAACGATCAGGCTCCACTAGTGTGATTAGGTACGCATCACATCCAATCAGTTATTTCTCGAGATGAAAATCGAGTGCATGGCGCAATCCTATATGGAGCTTTTCCAAAGTATCAAAGCACATTCTTATAGTGTCCGACGAGCTGAATTCAAAGATATCTTCGGATTCTCGAAAGCTCAATTTTGAACCGAGTTATAACGAATTCACGAAATTAACGAGGATTCGCGTTATTCGAAGGAATTTTCGATTTCAAACGGCGAGTACTGTATTCGAATAACAATAACTTCCTTCAAAGTTGGCAAATTTTTGGAGAAAGAGGATTTGTAAGTTTTCGCCGAGTACTCGCTAGCTAGCACTGAAAGTGTTGAAATTAGTGAGAAATCAGTTTTGGGACAATTCACGAGCGAAATTCATAAAAAGATTTTTTATATTTTTGAAAGCCATAACTACTTTAATGTGCATCGAGTCCAGGAAATTAGTACGGCACTGTAAGCTAGAGGACTCGCGTCATTCAAAAGTTATTAAAATGAATTGATATGTGGAGAGGGTCAAGAATGACCGTGTTGAGGATTTTTGCATCAAAAGACATGGCTTCCTCCATAAGGATCAATTCGGGAAAGTGTGAATATAGCGCTCCGAGCAGAATCGTTCTGTTCACAGATCATGTCCTACTTACTACTATGAAGCGCTTCGTCTGTCGTCTGTCGTTCTGTATGTCTGTCACGAAATTCCCTAGCTCCTCGGGATCCGCCTGGAGGGACCGGGTCAAGTGTGGGATGGGTGGGCAAGGTCTCACGAAGTACAAAACACACATCAGCTAAGCGGAGCCCCGCCCACAGTGGGCGTGGCGTGCGTCGAAATGAAGTGTACTGACGACCAGATTTCAATTCAGAAAACGACCTCGAAACTGGGCCAAAAAGTGGGTAAAGGTGTGCATTGGTAAGTCACATCGAATTAGGGAGACCCACCCCGGTGGGCGGGGCGTTCTCCAAAAAAGCAGTGCTTTATGAAAAATTTCATAACTCGGTTGGGAGAAAGCCTACAGAGCAGAAAACAAAGGGTGTAGGGGAGCAATGTCTAAGGTGTTTCCCAGCATACATGACGTGGGCGGAGGCCCGCCCACAATGGGCGGAGCGCGCTCTGAAGTGTACAGCATTTTCTACAAGTCCATCATAATTCGGGCCGGGAAGTCTTAAAGAGCCGGAAAAAGGTGGATAGAGGTGGGTGGAGGAGTGGAGGCCAGCTGTCATCGGTGGGCGGGGCATGACCAAAGTGGGCGGAGTTTGCCAAAAATTCGTAATTTGGTTCCAAGAGGTCCCAGAGACCGGGAAAAAAGGGGTAGAGGTCGGCGAAAGGAAGGGGGCCAAATGCTATTGGTGGGCGGGGCACGCACCGAAGTAGGCGGAGTTTGCCACGAGATTTATTGTCCGGAAGCAGTCCGGAGACCGAGAAAAAGAGATAATGGTTGACGAAGAAAAAGAGGTTGAAAGCCGTCGATGATGGAGCGGATAGAATTTAGCTGAGAATTCAGATATTCGTGGTGTATCAAGCCAAATTTGAAAATTTTCGTCGCACCATCAAAATTCGCCGCAGATCTGTGTTGTGCGCGCAATGCGTGCGGCGCCAACTGGTAGTTATACAGTTCGACAAGTATGTCAAAAATGGCTCCGTTGAAGATTCTGTCCGAGTACCGATGTTAGATTTTCGCATTGCTTTTTGGCAACCTTAGCTCTTTTCGTGGATAATGTTGTACAAATATGAAAATCGCTTCGAAATCTAGTAATTTTCCGCTCTCTCAGGAATGTAACAGTGTACTGAAACTCAGGCGGCATTTCTTCATGCTGAAAATTGCATTACTGCTTGAGCAGTGGAACATGTTCCGTTATGTTAAACGATCGAAGGTTCCTCAACGCACGCTTGAGACTGCCTGAAGGTCCGCTCACCTCGTGAAGCACCGACGCCGTCTGTTTTGAAAGAATCGTTCTCAGCACCTTGCTCATTCCTTTGATCCGCCGCGAGCAGCTTCTTCTTTTTAGTAGACTCTTCCCCAAAAGTAGGCTTTTTTCAGTTTCTCTAAGTTTATTTTCCTTTATTTCTTCGCTGCCGGTGCTCTTGACGCTTGATTCTATGTTCGAGCGCAGTATCATACTTTACGAGCAGGGTGAACACCATGTCGGGGAAAACGCAACTGTGATACGACCCACCCCCGCACAAAAAAAGGAGTCTCGGTACGACCCTCTCTGTAAAAAAAGTGGTCCTCAAAATCAAAACACTAGCCGATCAAAAGCAGAACAAAGCGATGGTGAAAGCAAAGTAATCTTGAAAAAGATTCATTAGCAGTTGTGTGTCAATGACAAACTAGGAGAACTCACCTCTATTCAGCGACTACGGCGCGAAAGCTACGATTAACAAAGGAATTCCTGAAAAACAAAACATTCTCCTATTGTAACAGCTAAAAACGTAATGGTTCACGTGTACATAGGTTACACGAAGATCAATCACTGTAGCGATTTATCTCGAAAATTTGCACTCTCCCCTTGCGCTCGAACCAAAACAACTTTTCTGAAACTTGATTTTTTGGAGAACTGTTTGTGTGCTTGGAAGAGTTCTGATTGCACTTTTTCAAGACAAGAACGGAGAATAATGATGAGTAGGACCTTACAAAGAAAGTGTCGCCGAATTTAAAGGGGCAGCTGATCCCTCACGCGGCTGCGGCGCGGCTCACGCGCTGGAGCGATTTATCTCGAAAATTTGCCTCTCCCCTTATGCTTCGAACCTTAATAACTTTTCTGAAACTTGATTTTTTGGAGAACTGTTTGTGTGCTTGGAAGAGTTCTGATTGCACTTTTTCACTAATTTTGAGGGAACGAACTTTAAAGGAGCTCGAAATTTTCACGCGGATTTTTGTGTGTTCTCAAGATGATAACTTTCTTATTTCTCAATTGCTCGGAAAAGTAAGGATAGCTTAAGAAAGTAGAAGAATTGCTCTTTCAAATGGTTGCCTGACTTGTTTCGAAAACTTCCTACTTAAGAGAAATCTGCGTCGAGGAAATGTCGAGGAATTTTTCTTCACTCAAAAACCAGGATTCCTTCCACATCATTGCTAGAAATTCATTGAAACCTCTCAAAATGCCTCAGGTACGCATCGCTTCGCCGTCGCTGATACAACTAGATACGCTCAGCGCCGTTTGGTTTCATCCAGCCGAGCATACGCCATGCCGTCGGTCCCTCGTATTTTAAGTCATTTGGGTCAGTCACTCAAGATGTTCTGGGTGCATGATGACTTCCTGATAAGAGCCGAAGTGTCTCACTGGTGATTAAACGTGGGATTTCTTATAACCACGGCTTACTTGCTTGCTCTTTCCTTTTCAACGCCTCTCTGACAGCATTGACGGCTCCGTTCCAGGCTCGGTCCGCCCTCCAGTCAAAACGCACGTCGTTTCGGTCCGTACTTAATATCATTGATCAAGAAGGGTCTTGTAGCCCTAGAGGCTGCGGAAATTCCGCAGCCTCCATGGCTACGAGTCTCTGCGCGGTCCATGCTACTAAGCACATAGGCCGGAACGGCTAGGCGTGCGTTCACTGAATTTTTTAAATTTTAAACTCAACACAAGGTTGCTCCCCTTTCATTGGATATCGATTTCTTTGAATATGGAACCTGCAAAGATTGAATCCTATTCGTTCCCTCATGCAGTTCTAATGAGAGAGTTGGGAACCAGGTTTAGAAGAAGTGGGAGCCCACTTCCACTTCTCCTGAACCTGGTCACCACGCCTCGTTCGATACTGATTCCGATAATTACGACCCCCTCCGCCTTCCACAGAGGCAAATACGACCCCCCCCCGTCAAGGAATTCCTCGACCAATATTCACCCTGTTTCCTAGTCTCAGGATGTGTCTTTATGTTCAACAGCATTCTTACTTGTAATATTTTCAGAGTTGTTTCCAAGTTAATTTCTTTACAAAAATCAAGAATTGCAGCTCTGCTCGGTCATCACAATGCCGCTGGCCGGTGTTCTCTGTGAAAGCTCGTACGGCTGGAGATTGCTTTATTACATTCAAGGACTGTTCACACTTCTACTTTTCATCACATTCTATCATTTCTTCGAGGATTCACCGATTATCCACAGGTCACCGGCTAAATTTCCCTGTTGCTGCTTTGCTACATTAAATGAGCCGTCGTTGACAAGACCTCTATCAAATTCTTGATCAAGTTCACCCACTCGCACGCGACAAAATGGGTTGTAGGCAGGGTCAACCGTCACGTTCGAACATTTTCGGGATTTTTGCGACCCCCTGTTTTTGTTAATAAGAGTGCTAGACATGAATCCGTTGCGCCAGAAAGCGTCTGTGCCGCCGCAGACAGCGTCTGCATTGCGCGTCAGCCTTGGAGCGCGGCAGGTATCACCCGGGCGCTGGAAGAACGGGACGCGGCGAAGAAAAAATTTTAGAGGGGAATAACTTTCTTGGGACGTATTTTTTTGACTTGTTGAGGTAGATTTTGACTGTGCCTGAGGTGCGCTTTCAGAAAACTACAAGGATTGCCTAACTCTCCGGAAAGTACTTCTGTTAGAAGTGGAAAACCCAAAATTCTAAGAAGGCGCACCTTCAACTTTGAAGGCCCATAAAATCTTTCGTATGCGACATTTTGGAAATCTGTAAAAAGTTTCAGAAACTTCAAATATTTCTCTAACAAAACAGTATAAAAGTTTAGTGATTGTCCCCTTTTTCAAAAAATTGTCCCGTTCGAACATTTTTCGTGCAAAAGCGAGTTTTTGGGCTTTCAGCGACCATAACTCACTTCATTTTCATTTCTGTGATGCACTTTTTTCATGGGGTGAAAGTACAGGATTTGCTCTTTCTAACAAGCACCAAACCGTTTTTCAAAATCCATTTTTCGAGAAAATCACACGTTCGAACATTTTGTTTTGCCGAGGTTTTTTGCACATGCGAGTTTTTGAGCTTTCAGCAATAATAACTTCCTTCAAAGAACTTGTTGGGGAGGGGCGAAGACATTTTTGAAGACTACGAGATTTCTGCTTTCTTATGTGTTTTACCGTTGTCTGGAAGAATCGTCCTCAGAAAATCAGGTCCCGAAGAACTTTAATTTCAGCCCCGAGAAGTCAAACCTTTCATAGGGATGCATTCAACTGTTCTTTATTCCTCAAGGAAAACACCGTAATTTGCCTAAAACTGTCTCTCTGTGCATAATAATCGAATCTAATGCGGTCTGCACAAACAATTCTTGCCCTCGGATACGCCACGCACGCGCCTGTGGCTGGCAGTCCTCGAAATTGCGACCCCCTTCCGACCAAAATGCGACCCCTTCGTTCGAACAGTTCGAACGGACGGTTGACCCTGGTTGTAGGTAAGAATACCATCAAACTACACTGGTGGCGAAAACTTGTGAACGACATGGATAAAGGCATAACTTGTTAACAATTCAACGAATTCGATGAAACTGTGCGCACTGCTAGTACCCTTGCAGTCATGGACATGAAAGTGGGCCTCATATACGTAGCGGTCGGCTTCAGTCTGGAGCCAAAAGGGAGTGGCCACGTAGAACGAGGGGTTTGGTGGGACAGGACAAGAGTGTACTGAGCAGGGAGAAGTTACTGTGGAATGTAGTGGTGTTCTTGATTACAGCAAGTCTCAGAGACAACACGAGGGTGACTTCACGCGAGGAAGAATCCCCGGGAAACTGGAAGAAGGAAGATTTGTAACGAGTGTGGTCCAGGAGTTTGATGTTGTTGCTCACACCATTGTTTTGTGCGCATAAGGAGCAATATGGACTGCAGCCACTGCTGCCCCTAGAAGAGTAGGTGGATCACGATCAACTGCAACAGCAGGTGATTGCTACGTTTTGCAACAGGCAAAATGGACCCACGTCAGTCACAGGCTGCAGTTGCAAAAACATTTATCAGGATTGTAAGGCACGTAATCCCAGGCTGAACAGTGGCACAGTGACCGCATAGGGATGGTCTCTCTGACCGACCAACAGTATCTGGTGTTCCTTCGAAACCCGCGCATCGGCGGGAACATTTGCTAGGTGCCGGGACATTAGCGATGGACCACCGATTTGGATGATCGCGTGTTCTTCTCAGTTAAGATCAAATTGAATGTAAGTAGTGATTTGGACTTACCCGCATGTGGCGAGAATAGGAACACGTAATGCACCCAGGACCATCGTTCAACATGATTGTTTTGATAGTCCATTCGATATGGTGTGGGGAGGCATAAAGTTGCAAGGGTACCAACCTCCCAACTCCTGATCGCGGAATGCTTTCTGATCGACGTTATTGTGACGCTGTACTCCTCACTTATGTGCATCTTTTCAAGGGTGCCTTTGACCTCAACTTCAATCGTATGGAGGACAAGGTGCGAGAGCATCGAGCAGCCTAGGTGGAAAACTCTTGGAAAGCGAGGATTTCGGCGATTGGTGAAGCCTGCCCGCTTCCTCCAGTCAAATCCTATGGAGCACGTGTGGCGTGCATTCAGGAGAGCTATTGTAGCGCCCCATGCGCCAACAACTGTCCAGCAGTTGTCAATCGCGGTCTTCAAGGAATGGATCGCTTCTCCACAAGAACTCTTAACCAACCTTGTGGCCAGTATTGGAGCACGTAGCAGAGCATGCTTTGCAGTCCGTAGTGTTCATACACCCCATCAAGAACCTGATAGACCTTTTACCAAGAATCTGTCAATTGTCTGTGACCTGGATGACTTTTTTTTGAAGAGTTATGTCTCAAAACCCAGCACAAGCTGAAACGACCTCCGCCGGGGCCATCGTCAGCTCCAGTATTCTGTGCAACCGTGCCAATTCAACCCTTCCCTTATTACCAGAGGTTTATGGATTTTAACAGCTTTAATGGAAGTGGTCACGATAATTCTCATAGGGACGATAAGGAAAGCTGTGTACTGGAGTGGATAGGGGTCCTGCCCAATGTTAGAACACGTGAAGTTTCAGTGGCAGTGGCGCCTTATCAACGGAGTGATAAGGCGCCGAAATCCACTTCCGTTCAGCAAAAACCAAGACTTATCGATGTGGAAAGGGGTGCGATAAGAGCGTGCTAGATATGATACCGTTATCGTTATCGTCCCGTTTTCATTCTGGAGTGCACCTCTTATCAAGCAGCCGCACCTTCTTATCTCATCGTATCATATCTTCCATGGGCTTACACTCGTCCAACAATTACTGCCTCACACCTTATCGATTGATAACGCGAGGGTAGCAAATCCAGCGTGGAAGCCAGCGTGATCGCTTCCTTTAACTCAAATCAAAAATGTTCTGAATGAGCCGAGATACATGCATTTGAAATTTCGGAAAGCGCAATAACTTTCCTCACCACCTAAATATTCACAGCAGTATACAATGTGTTGAAGTTATTGGGAGGTAAGTAGTGAAACTTCGATCAAAATGACGTGTATGGCAATATAAAAGGCCAATTTATGTAGGTACTTCGCTATAGTGGCTTTTAAAAAAATTGAAGCGGTCATTTCGGTAATAACATGTATCTTTCCATACGCATAATGTCTATATTTACTTCTAATATTTTTCTTAAACATATTTTTCTGCGAATATTAAGGAAATGAGGAATGAACTAAACTGTGACAAATTGTTACGACTTAGGAGATTAAGCATTCGCCAAAATAGAGCATATATGACCATTCGGCGGACGACGTTTTTGTGGTCATTTTGAAGTGTGATCAATAGAAGAAATACTCATACTCTATACACTCATGAAAGAAGCAGCCTCTGTGCGAAAAACAAACGATATGGGTGCGAGGTGCGCGCGCTTAGCGCAACCTAAAGCCGATGTCAGACTTTGCGAATCGCTAGCGTCCGCGGTCGCGTTGCGGTACCAGGCAATTGAGTGATTCACTGGCCGCGACGCGACCGCAGATGATAGCGAATCGTGCGATTCGCAAAGTCTAACATCGGCCTTAACACGTTGACAACATCGAACAGCGCAAGCACTTGTCGGCTGTCGTACTCGTGTTAAGAGTCTCCTCCTTTTACGGTGCATTTAGGGGTATCGGGCTACATTGTGAAAATGTTACGCTTCATCCAAGCAACCGAGTGATGGACAAGTTTGGTCTTAAAATGAGATTTTCAGGAATGTGAGCGAAAAAGAGTTGGCTCGAATTCAACTTGACAAAAACAGTGCTGATCTGTCAGCACGAGAACCGGTGCCGTACCTGCACGTGGTTCGAGACCCCTGCATAATCGGAGTTTGGCTCTCGAATGTTGGAGCTCATTTCGGATTTCTCTCTTTTCTCTACTATGGGCCAGTTTATATTAATAAGGTGAGCTTAGCGTTATTAACCGGGCAGTTTCTACGACCACTGCTGGAGGACTGCTGAACATTCTCGAATTGAAGACCCTGCACACAATCAAATTGATATGACTGTTCTGCTCGAAAATGAAAGCAGAGATGGGAAGCGGACCGTTACTGAAGTAAATGGGGAAGAAAACCGTCGAAACTGAATAACGGACGTGTTTACGGTCCACAGAGACAGAATCGAAGAGAAGTTCTGCACCGAGACAGCATAACAGATGAGACAGCGCAGGAATCCCATGATACAGATCGCTACCTCGTGAGCAAAATAGAAAGAATACCAGTGGTCAAGACCGACCATATTAGAGTTGTGAAAATCACATATGTTCGACCTCTCTGGGCTGACTTATCTTAGCCACGAGTGGTTGGATTGTAGGCAGAGTTTGCGATGAAAAGTCAGCCCATTATAAATCAAGGTGAAGGTGGTCAGTGGTGCAGTGATGAAGAAAAAACCCTTGGGAAACGGCCTAGAACGGGAAACGGCCTGATAAATGGGATACTTTTTTCGCTCATTGATTTGCGCATTGATGCGGGTCTCATTGGTACTGGCCTCTTCAACGCTAACGCTCTCTCCCTCCCTCTGTTGAAAGCTAGAAGACGGCGGGTGCGAGGGTGGGCGTGCCGCGGCGCGACCAGCTTGGGTATGATCCTACTCGGCCGCTTTAAGGCATACCCTTCGCTGCGGAATGCGCATCTCCCGCCCCCTTAGGGGCCGCCTGTCGACTAGCTATACCTCCCTTTCTTCGACCTCCGACATCATCATGAAGTTCTCCCACAAAGGAAGCGATTACGATAAATAGGGAGCGCATCGGCAAAGGTGCTATCTAACGCATCCATACGTCCGCCATCTTAGCCGCTGCCTGTCCGTGAGCGAAAATCGTCGGCACCACAAGGGCATCCCGTTTTGTGTTTTTCTCTGCTTCCTCGCCTCTGGCGCACCATTGAGCACCCTCATCTCCCCTACCAGCCTCTTCAGAGCTCATTCTAATCACTGCCTTACATCCATTTCTTCATAGTGGAATATGCCTCTGGAATATAATATTATAATTACAAGCGACAGGTTGTCGGAAAAGGCCATGGTCACTTGTCGGTTTTATTTCTAACTCCTTTTTCTCCTTTCAGTGAGCAATTTACAAATATATGCCCCACCATGATCGTCAACATATTGCCTTTTAGCAGGTAACTCGTGGATGCCGTTTGTCTGGAAATACTGAGCTTTCAAAGCAAAACCCTTAAAGAAGTCTTCTTTGAAGGTCCGGATCATCAAGCTTCCCTCCTTTAGTCGATTCGATAGCAGTTGAAGCGGATGATAGTCTGTTGGCGCCGGGTCTCCTGAACGCAACAGGTGGGACAGGAACGTCCCATAACGGGCTTGAGACTTTTGCTGAACCTTCTTCCAAATTCGTTGACGAGCGTTGCCTGGATAAAGTGGAACTTTTCCATGTTTTTGAAGCATAGTGCCGGCGAACCCATCCATTTGCCCATATTATGGTTCAGCAATAGCAGTGCAGTTCTTTGGTAGGAGCTGTCAGTGAACGAATCGCTTGGAGCTTTACCAATTTTGAAAGTCACTTCCCATGCTGCAATGCTGGAATCGGCGCTGCCAACAAAGTAGCCGGGTCAAACAAGAGACAGACAATAAATCAAAATGTTCATGTAAAATCTTGAAGGCTTCTGACGGCGGTCACCCATATCAAAAATCTCCTTTTGCCATAATTTCTCTTCTTTTTGAGAGAGATATTGAGGAACAGCTATTGTGTTCTGATAACTTTGAAAAAGCTGCGTCAGTTCCCGTGCATTGCTCCGGAGACTGTTTCCAAACAGCTCCAGAAGACACTCGTCATTCAGTGGAACAGGCCAACAAATTTGTGCATTTTCTCGAGTTTCTGGACTTCGGCAACCAAATGTTACCATGCCTTGGACGACACTCAAGGGTTTCTTCGCAAGAAGTGACTCTTGTGGCATCGTTCCCACGTCAGCGGACGAGTTTTCCCTCCGTGACGCGTTCTCTGGGTTTTAGAAACAGGAGCAGCCGAGCATGCTTTCAGTCGAGGTCGATTTTCTCAGCCACAAAAGCTGTGAGAAACCACGACAGAAATGCTATGAAGAGATCATTGACGGTTGATCTAAACGGCCAAAGACTTTTTCGACAACAAATAGAGCAAAAAAAAACAAGAGCAATTCTGGGTTCAACTTTGCACGAGGTTTTGCAAGCCCATTCTATCGAAACGAACGATGCGGTGACTGCACTGAGATCTGCAAAGGACGTGTGAAAACCATACTCCTCTTCACTACCTTCTGTGAGTACCAAGTCCGGCTCTCACACCCAACAGCCAGGACCTTAAAATGATTATTCCATTGTATCCACTAGTTTTTTTTCTCCTCCAAGCATCTAATGCTTCTTCGCTTCAAAGTCAGCCTAGGATTCTTCTTTATTGATTTTTTTTTCCTAGGATTCTTCCGACTCTATATTAAAGACCATTCTCCAAAATCACTACCGCCTCCCAAGCTTTACGAAATGTGCCGATTGAAATGTTTACAGGTGTTGCATTTCCACGTAAAATCTACCGGCTATGCTACGGCACTACCGTATGTGCTGTCTGCAGCTGTGAAGATTATCGCCGGTCCGATTTCAGACCGAAGCACTTGCGTCTCGGAAAGAATACGAGTCATCATATTTGCATGCATATCGCAGGGTTGTATGGCTACTTGCTTCTTCATGCTAGCTTTTGTGAGTTTCTTATAAGATGTTCCCTACATGCAATCACTGATATCGATACACTGCGTTCAATAATGATACAGCCACCTAAATTTGTTCGAAAACTCAAAGTTCATAGAGTTTCTGAAAAACTGTCCAGATAGAAAATGTGACAAATTTCATGGCGAGTTCAGATATCAACACAAAAATCCATGTCGAAAACACTAAAAAATTTTGTGCTTATTTTTTCAGAAGAGGTCGATTTTCCTATGTTCAAAAATGATACAGCCACCCCGTGTTTCTTTCAAATTCATGAAAATGATTCGCAGTTATCAGGCTTTCACCTTAATGTTCCCACAAGATAAAAAAGACAGTTGGATTTCGAAAAAGGGTAAACTGTAGCAAAAAAGGACCAGGAATCGTCAAGCAGTCATATTGCGCAGAATTGAGTCAAAGCTCCAATACGGTTAACAATCTTTCTGGAATCCTGTAGGTTATGAAACAAAGAAGTTTTTAGTCAAGTTGAACTCTACAATTTGGACATACATTTCAATTTCATCGAACAGTGCCCGAAATTTCGGTCTTCTTTCAAATCCAATCTTTCAATGGATATTGTTTGGGATGTGTTGAAGATATTCCGAGGTCATTCTCTAGTGGAGAATTGAAGAAACCTTGTTTGTGAAAAGAAATTCTCTTGAAAACCGAGTCATTTTTGCTCGAAAGTGTAGCCACGTCCACTGGAGCAAGATCAGTTCTTTTGTCCGTTATGCCTTACTTTCTGTCTGCGTTTCTCTCAATGTTTTTCGCTTCATAGGAGTCTAATGAAAGGAAAAACCCTTAATGAGGAAGGAAAAACTCGAAAGAAAGTAAACAGAAAGTAAGACACAACAGACAAAAGAACTGATCTTGCTCCAGTGGACGTGGCTACACTTTCGAGCAAAAAATGTCTCAGTTTTCGAGAGAATTTCTTTTCACAAACAAGGTTTCTTTAATTCTCCATTGAAGAATGACCTCGGAAATCTTCAACACATCCCAAACAATATCCATTGAAAGTTAATTTGAAAGAAGACTGGAATTCCGGGCACTGTTCGATGAAATTGAAATGTTTCCCCAAAATGCGAAGTTTAACTTGACCAAAAAGCAATGATGAACATCCAGAGCTCTTCGTTGTTCCATAACCTACAGGATTCCAGAAAAGATTGTTAACCGTATTGGAGCTTTGACTCAATTTTTGCGCAATATGACTGCTTGACGATTCCTGTTCTTTTTTGTTACAGTTTACCCTTTTTCAAAACCAACTGCCTTTTTTATCTTGTGGGAACATTAAGGTGAAAGCCTGATAACTGCGAATCATTTTCATGAAGCAAAAATGAATTTCAACGAAGAAACACGGGGTGGCTGTATCATTTTTGAACATAGGAAAATCGACCTCTTCTGAAAAAATAGCACAAAATTTTTTAGTGTTTTCGACATGGATTTTTGTGTTGATATCTGAACTCGCCATGAAATTTGTCACATTTTCTATCTGGACAGTTTTCCAGAAACTCTATAAACTTTGAGCCTTTCGAACAAATTGTAGGTGGCTGTTTCATGAACGCCGTGTTGTTGGCGCCAGCTGACCAAGAAAGCCCGGTGTCAGTCTCGGCGAATTTGTGAATTCGCTAGCAATGAGTGCTTCGAGTGGTTCAAGCGATGCGCCAGCCAACCAAGCCGTTGGACTCGTTGGCGCATCGCTCGCACCACTCGAATCGTAGCGGAACACCTAACCGCTAGCGAGCTCACGACTTCACAATGTCTCAGATCGACCGAACGAACGGCTGAGGAGAGGTGTAATTGGCAGGATGAAATGACCGCTTAAATAGGAAGCAGAGGATGGACTACAAATATTCTAAATTTTACGTTTCTAGGCTGAATCTGCTCAAACTGCACAAGCTGTGTACACCTGCGCAATTGTATTCAGCGGACTCAATGTGGTAGGAGTTGTCAAGTGCACTCAACTGGTATGTGGTCCTTTCCCACGATGTTTCTGGTGAGGGAGAAGTGTGTTGCAAGAAGTCACTACGCGACATCGCGCCAGTCGCAGTTTAGGTTTCGCGCCTCCCTGTAGTGTTATGCGTTCTGCGTTCAAGGGGTACCTGACAGGAGGCCCGTCGCGCGGCAAGAAGGCAGAGTCAGCGGACGAGTCGCAGCGCGTGATGTGCGATGTAGGACGTACAATGGACATTCTATTTAACTTGACGCGAAATCACTACAGTACGCGCTGCGACTCGTCCGCTGACTCTGCCTTCTTGCCGCGCGACGGGCCTCCTGCCGGGTAACCGCGTTTAACATACACATGTAACACTGACATATTTCCGCAGCACGAGCTCATGAAAAATCAGTGGAGTGGACTACGTCATATTCACCTTGAATGGCATGATTTTCTTGATGCGACTATTTCGCTCGATAAATACAGAATGATAAAACGGACCGCCGTTAAGAAGCAAAAGAAAGAGACCGTCAAAACACTTGGATCTTCAAAAAAGAAACTTTGTTCCACACTGAAGAATTAACTAGCGGTGTGAGAGATAACGGACGCCTAGAAAAAAAATACCGAGGGAGAGCATGCAGATAGAGACGGATCAAGTAAGAACCACGGCCATCACCTGTATCACCTGTCGTCCCGTTGATCGTCGATTTGCTCGAGCGGGCGCCAGCAACGTCTCCATTCGTCCCTGTCGCGTGCTAGAGTGGTCCAGTGGATCCTCGCTCGAGGGACACGAAGTCCTTCATTCCTTTCGTTCAGAGCTTTCGTGAAGAAGTCCATCGGGCCGGCGGTCGTCCAGGTGTTCGTTTGACGTCCCGAGGGATCCAGTCGGTAACCGCTCTGGTCCAACGGTCATCGCAAAATCGCATGACGTGTCCGGCCCACCTTATCTTCGATTCCTTGGCGAAAACGGCAGCGTCCCTGATCTTCGATCGTTGGCGTAGTTCGAACTCCGGATTCCCCTCTGCACTTGCGTGTATAGGGTTACTCCTAGCATCGTCCTCTCGACAGCGCGTTGGATAACGCTGACCGCATGCTCGTCCTGCCTGCGCAGAGTCCAAGTCTCTGAGGCGTAGGTTAGGGCAGGAAGGACAGCGGAATCGAAGAGGTGGGCACGGAGCCGGATGTTCTTCGTCTTCTTCACTACTCCCTCGATGTTCTTGAACGCTCCCCATGCCGCTCGTTTCCTCCTGCTCAGCTCTGGAGCTAGATCGTTCATCATATTGATTTCCCGACCTAGGTACACGTAGCTGGAGCATTCGGTGATGTTCGTGAATGGGGCATCAGGAACCAATCCGTTTCTCATAAACATCGTCTTCGTTAGGTTCAGCTGCAGACCAACCTTACCACAGGCGCAGTCGAAATCAGCCAGCATTCGCTCCGCTTGCTCGATGTTCGGCGTTATAAGAACGATGTCGTCAGCAAAACGAAGGTGGTGTAGTTGCCGGCCGTCGACCTTCACTCCCATGTCTTCCCATTCCAGTTGACGCATGACGTTCTCGAGAGCGGCGCTGAAGAGTTTGGGCGAGATGGTGTCGCCCTGTCGAACCCCTCTCTTGACGTCGATGATGACCTCCTTGTAGAATGGTGAGATTCTGGTCGTAAAGTTGCTGTAGAGCTCACGAAGAATCTTGATGTACTGAGTAGGGACGCCCTGGTTGCCCAAGGCTTCGATGACCGCTTCTGTCTCCACAGAGTCGAAGGCCTTCTTCAAGTCGATGAACGTGAGACAAAGCGGCACATTCAAACTCCTCGAGAAAC